GAAAATGAAATAAAGGGCTTCTCAATGCCCTGCTCATCAAGCTGGGTACATGGCCATGCTTCTCTCTCCCTTTGAATCTGGGTTGCTGTGCAAAATATATCAGGGTAGATGGAAGCCAAAGACTGGCACTGCATGGCTTCCCACATGCAGGAGCAGCCCTGCTGTTGTGGCATGAGGAGGCAGTGGACAATGTTTGCCTCCAAGGACATATGCTTTGTGTCTGACTGGTCAGAACATGCAAGCCTGGCCTGGAAGGCTGTAAGAAGGTGCAGAAGGTGTTGGAATGGGTCTTTGATCTGGAAACGTGCTGCTCCTCAGCCTTGGTCAACACAGCAAGGTTTGGTAATGGACACAGAGTTTTGGGTGGGAAGAGCACAGAGCTTGAGTTGACCCATGGTTGGATAGGCAAGGGCCACAGGAGGTGGTGGGGATGAAGATGAAACCTGGCAAAATGGCTGCAGGCTATAGTCAATCTGAGTAACATCAACACGATGGTCACTAGAAGGAAAGGTCAGACTTCAGTCAGTTTGTTCAGGAAGTTTTATCAGCAGGAACCCTATGAGAGAGGACTGCACAAAGAAGCATCTGATTAAATTGACTAGCTCTTGCTATCTTAAAATCTGATGGGCAAATATTTTTAGAGGAAAACAGAGTTGACATATTTATTCAGCATAAACTGTTTGTTCCTCTGAGGAAAACTGTGGGAATTTTCGTGCTCGCAGCTGGCACGCATACTGCTGTGCAGTGCAGTTTGCAGTCAGACTAGCAGTACCCCGGTTATAGCTGACCCCAGAAGTCTAATCTTTTGCTAAACATTTTGAAGTGTTTTCTTCCTAAATACTAACCCAATTGTTTACTGTCTGCATAAAAACTGCTAATGGTAGGGCTGCTAACTGCAACCAGGATACATGATGCTTTAATTGCTGAGTATGACTCAACAGGAGAGCACTGGAAGTCTGGGTGGGGGCTGAAGGAGGGAGTGGATAATAACAGGACACAAAGGTGTGTATATGCAAGAGAGAAAACCTGGGGCTTTGCCGAGTTTCCAGTTGTAGTCCAGGTTGAAATACAGAAGACCAGTTATGCAACCCCCAGTCAGATTTTTGGCTCTCAAAGAAATAACGTTGGTGGCCTATATGGAAATATAGATGGATTCATTACCTGAACCCCCAGGGAACATGGTAGGTGTGTGTGGTTCTGGCACAGACAGTCATGGAGCAGGAAGGGCGATGGTGTTGAGCTGCCAAAGGCTGGGGAGCACAGCACAGCGTGGGATGCCCAGTGAACCTTTTGATCAGTGCATGGAACTTGGCAATCCTGAGGCTCACTCTTGCCAAGGGTTGGATTTGTGAAGAGATCCTGTGATATGCAGCCATTCCTTCAGGGTATATGATTGAAGTTTGTGGCAGTTACCTGATTTGCTAAAAAAAATTGCTACATTGAAGCACCACCTCCTCCTCCACCCCCACCAGCACCCCTCATCCCACACACGTGCACACTACATTACAGGTACATTAGGATGCCCACTTAAACTTTGCCATGTAGCACTGACTGTAGCACAAATTTCTATTTGAAATGCAGTGAGTACCCAATTATAGCACTTAATAGCATTCTTCATTCCCACAACTCTTTGTTTGATCCAGAGGTTGGAACATTTAAAATATCATCAAGAAAACACAGTGCTTACTGACTGAGGCAGTTGGATTCCTCTAGATCAATATGAAACAAGACTTAACAACAAATTGCCAAGTGGTACCACCATGTCAATGAGATGCTTTCTTCTCAACTTCTGGCAAAGGAGTAATTGCGTCTAAGAATTCATTGCTTTATTCTTGGGGATGATATTTAAAAGATTTAGATGCTATGCCTCTGCCTTCACTGATGCTATTAATTGGTTTTGAGACACATCCCCATTTTGTCATTTCTAAAGGTGAAGGCTGTTCTGTGTTTTGTTAGTGATGACAGCACTGCTGAGAAAAAGGAAGGTCTAAAATATTTGACTTTAAGAACATGACAGATTAAATAACCTGGGGGGTCCTAATAATCATCATTCACAATGTAGGAGATGACAAGGGGAAATTTCTAAGATGACATTTTGTCACTTGTGGTAGTCACTTAAAATGACAAAAGCTATACATTCTGCTCTGCAGCTTCTTTACTCTAATTGGGCCAATTTTGCTATCATGCTATTATCCTGCAGAGCAGAACTGGTGACAAACAAAGAGGCTTTTGTGATCTCAGCTGAATATTCTTCCATGAGCTCAAGAAAATATCTTGCCAAAAGAGAATGAAAATTGTCCTTGCATTTTGTGACTGGCCAGAAGCCTAAGGCTCATGTCCGTCTGGAAAAAGTCTCATCTGTATTTTTACTTCCTGATTGCTTATGGTGGAATTTTGCAGAAGGGGCCACAAGTCAGAGGAACTATAATTACATTTGGGATTTTTCCTGTTACACGAAATAACATACCTTGGGACATGGCATGGGAAAAAGAGGGCTAAACTTCTCTTCTGCACTCTCTGCAATTTTGGCAGTCTGCCTTAATTTAACCATATTTTCCACTATGCACCATCACATAATAATTCCTTTTAAGTATGTAATGACATAAAAGTTGATTGTGTTAGCACATGCTTCTTTGTAGCTATTGGGAAACTTAATCCATTTTAAAAACGTTTGAACTTTGGGAGAAAAATTGTCATAAATAGCTACATGAAGAGTCGTAAGGAAGTGGTTCTATAAGCTGTTAATGTAGTGCGAAATCCTGAAACAACCCATCTTGTTAAGACGAAAACATATTATTTATTACCATTCAGAAGCTTTGGGCAAAAATATGTTTAGTAACACACATTTGTTAACATGGAATAAAATTACACTGGAGTGTAGCATGGAGTGTATGTGGAGTGGGCATATATCCAGCTCATCTAAAATACAGTCATTTCATGGAAGTGTTAAGCTGTTAAAACATATTGCTATCAAGAAACAGTTGTTTATTATAATAAGCATTGTTTTTCTGCATGACAGAAGTAGGAAAATGTCATTATTAATACTGTCCGGGATTTGGACAAAGACAGCCTTTGTTTCCATCTACTGAACAAGATATTTATATTCATTGTTTTGGAGAAACGAAAATTGGAAAACTGAAGGTAAATATTTCTCTCAATCCTTTAGCACATTTAAATCTGCAGGGTTCAGATTAAGCAGTGATGGTGGTGTGCAGTTAGTCAGCATTATGTAAGGCACCAAACACTGTAAAACAGACTACCAAAAATATTGGCTGAAGGTCTGCATGTTTTCCCAGACCTTCCCTCTTGCCCTTTACTCCATCTGCATATGTTACAATTCATAGAATCATACATTAGTTTGGCTTGGAGAAGTCCTTTAAAGACAATCCAGAACAGCCCGCCTGAAATGAGCAGGGGCACCTTCAACTAGATCAGTTTGCTCTGAGCTCTGTTCAACCTGACCTTCCGGGGAACTTCTCTGGACAACCTGTTCCAGTATTTCACCTTTCTTACTGTAGAAAATTGGAAAATTCCTTCTTTATATCTAGTCTGAATCTGTCTGATTTAAAACCATTGACCTTTGTCTTATTGCAATGGTTCCTACTAAAAAGCCACTCTCTTTCTTGTAAGCTCTCACTAAGTACTAGAAGGCTGCCATAATGGCTCCCCAGAGCCTTCTCTTCTCCAAACTAAATAGCCCAAACCCTCTCACCCTTTCTTCACAGAAACATATTTCATCTCCCTAATCATTTTTGCGTCCCTCTTCTGGACCCTCTCCAACAGGTCCATGCCTCTTGTGTACTGGGGCTCCAGAGCTGGATGCAATACTTCAGGTGGAGTGTCACCAGAATGGAGCAGAGCAGAGGGCCAGAGTCACTTCCCTCAACCTGCTGGCCATGCTTCCTGTTCATGCAGCTTGAGATACATTTGGGACCACTCAGCTTGGTGCTGTCTGTGAACATGGAGAGGGAGCACTTGATCCCATTGTCTGTAGCATTGATGCTACAATACTGTATTGCCTTCCCAATACAGACCTTTGAAGGACACCCCTCACCACCAATCTCCATCTGGACATTGAACCAGATTATGAGTTACCAGCTCCTGACTTCAGCAAGAGTTGTTTTGTTAGCTAAGAGTGCTCACATCTCATTTCTAGGTACCCTACTGTTACTTCTGCCTTCCCAAAACTCCAGGTCAAATTAGAGTTTTCGTTGCATTAATGCAGCTTGCTCATGAAGTACACTCATTTCCAACTCTGCAGTTACATGGTGCTCATGGAGCCTTAGCTGAATCACTGCTGACCCACCTGAGCCACCAGTGCTGCTCCTCAGGGCATGACTCCTGCTACACCATCAGTGAGGGCTGTTTCATGGCCTTCTTGAAGCCATCAATTCTGCACTTCTGGCTGTGTCCAGATCAGCAGCCACAGCTTTCATTCATACCCCAAATTCCAGCATCTCCTGAATCTGTTCCCCTGTGTCCCAGGCCATTAACTCTGCTCTACTCTTCCTCGTCAGTCCTGACTCTGCTTTATTATTATTTACTAATCCCTCTGTATCTGCCTACTGCAACATCCCCTCTGCCTTCCAAGGCTCATTAGTGCTCTCTGAGGCAGGCTGAAAGTCTCAGCAGGTTTACCTCTTTGTCTTAACCGGCAACTTTTCATTCTCTCTCACGAACGGAGAGGTGCCAGAGCTCCCTGAGCAGCTCAGTTTTTTCTTCCCAAACTCATCCCATCCCAGACTTCTTACAGAAAAGCCATAGTAAGCTGCTGAAAACTTAAAGTAAGGATGCCATCCTTACCAGGATAAGCTCTGGTTTCTACTGAAAGATCCTGGTAAATGCCACTCCCTGCAAAAGAAGTGCATCATCAGGAAATGTCTGCATCAAGTGACGGAGTCCGCATCAAGTAGCATATGTTCTGACAGAGAATTCTTTCGGATCATGACAGGACATAAAAATGTCTTAATTGTGACTAACACAATGCAATATACTAATTATTTGACAGTGCATAATATCTTTATTTAGAACAATAAAGCATATGTATATAATGTAAATTCCAAATCTGAACTGGTATAAAAAGGGATCTGGGAAAACATCTATTTTTAAGAGGACACATATGTACATACACATCACATTTTATAAACTTTGTGGATTACCTTCAGTCAGAATGTAACTATGCAAAACTGTGCTGACATTTACATTGAAATAAATGAATTTGCCCATAATGCAACCAGCAAACATCTGTGTCTCTATCACTAAAGAGTCTGAAGTTTCCACGTTCCATTAATTTGATAACAAAATAGCAACCATTACTGTAAATCTGCATTTAAAACAGTTGAATCAGATTTATGAATTGAAAAATGTTGGATAATTCTTAATCATAAATCAAACTCAAAATATCAGTATTCTATGTGTACTGTTAAATTTTCAAATTAATAACTCTGTTTTGTGTACTGAACAGTTTCAGCATATTATGTAGAGCAACAGAGAAAACAGAGCTGCTGCAGATGAGAATCCTAAACATGTGCAGGTTGTACACATACTCCATAGTAAAGCACATTTTATATGCTTATAAAATGACCTTGTGATGAAATAAGTACCATTAATTCATTCAAGTAAACACACATCTAAAGTAGAACAGTTACCCAGTATAAGACTATCTGCTTTTTTATTCTCACAAGGCCACTAGTAATTGCATGCAAAGTTCAACTATTTCAAAGGAAACCTAAAAATGTTACATTTCTCACCAAGCCACAGATATCCAAAAGCCAAATTTGGTTGACTTTTGTATAGAAAAAATAAAACACCCCTTTTCTCCCCAGTTTTATTCTAAGAAGGAGTGTGTTGATTTTCCAGCTGTGTTAATGCATGGGCTCTGTCTACCCAAAAAGAAGACTGAAAAACTGATCACTCTTTAGTAGTTAAACTCTTTAGAAATTAAGAAGCATTAAAGGTCTATTTCTGCCACCCCATCTCCAACTGAAGAGTACATGACTCTACTTCCTTTGATTTCAAAGATGTCTCACAAGTCAGTAGTCTTTCAGAATCTCACTATGTCCAAAGTAAAGATCTCCTCAGTGGGCACAGAAAGTTTCCAGTAAATTCACGATGCCACTTCAAAGTGCCATGCCACCTAGTGTATTCCCAAATGTCCAGAAGTCTCCTTCTGGATTGCAAAAGGATTGAGAACACCCAGTGAGATCTCTCTTGTGTTCAGATCTCTCAAAATGAGGGCAAAGAATGGGAAAACCATGTGGTCCAACAACAGTTCTGCTACTCCAGGTGTCACACAACTTTTGTGCACATTCAAAGAACAATGTTTGTGATGTGAAGGTCAAAAGTATACATGAGCTTTCTTTCTGATCTCATATAACTTAAAATTTACCTTGCTCCACAGAAGATATTGAAGTGTCTGACATTATTTGAAAGTGACTTACTTTAAGATGTTGCTCCTGGAAAGTGAACATTTTGTCATAGTCAATTTTTATTTATTTTATGTTTCAATTCATAACTGATATTTTCTATAGTATTGAAGATTAAGAAGCCTAAAATATCATGCTTTTGAATATCAAAGTATAATTTGGGGCACACCAATATGACCCAAATAAAGTGTTATTGAGTATTTAATTTTCTGGAAAGAATGCATTTAGAAAACAGAACATTTTTTATCAACAGAGAACATTAAAAAATACAAAATTTTTGTTTTACTGAAGCTAAGGAAAAAACCCAAACCCTCAAATGCATAAGCTAGCCTCAAGAGCGCATTGCATGAAGTATTTAAGGTTTTCATACAATATGTAAGGATAATTGCTCCCATTTACTGTGGACACTTTTCCATTCAGTCAAAACCATAGTTATTCTCTGCATTACCAATAAGGTGCAAATTTTCAACAATTAGGTCATGCTGACATTTCTTTTCGGGTACCTCTTAAAAAAGTTTGAAACTCAAAGTCTGAGGGCTTTGTGAGTAAAGAACTACACAGAGTCAAAGGACTCAGCGTTATATGGGGAATTCCATTGTTTGAAGAATGCACTTGCTTTTTAGAAGTGATAAGCATCCCTGGTTATTAACTGGTGAGCGCTCCAGCATCTTCAGAATAAATGTGAAGGCCTAATTCTGACACTAAGCTTCTTTCGACGTAGTGTAAGAGAAGTTCCTCAGGTGATGCAAACCACAAAGTTCTGCTATCCTTAATAGACCTATGCTAATTTATACCAGCTGAGTAGGACATGAAGACCCTTTTCTGACAAACAGAAAGTGCAAAACGGGCCTGAGTATAAATAAAAATTCCGCATGATCAAATCCTTCCATCAGTGAATTCATGAAAAATTTCAACCTTATTGCAGTAGGGTCAAAATTCCACACAGTGTAACTACATGCCACATCATCAAGTATGGTAAGGTTCTGAGATTTTTTTCTTTTTGCAAGTCTGAAAGACAGTTTTACCAATAATACACACAGACACACACACACACGCGCACACACACACATACACATGTATATATTATATGTATGAAATATTCTTTTTATGCATGGTTCTCAGAAAATTGAGCAGATTAAATCTTCCACAAGGATGCTTAAAAATTTAGTAACTATACATTTTAAGGAGAACTCCAACTTTATGCAAAACTTTAAAAGTGTTGGTGTTGGTTTTTGGTTTTTTGGGTTTTTTTTTGTTTTTTTTTTTTTTAAGTTTTCAAGTTATTTAAACTAAAACTCTTGCTGACCTGGTCAATATCATGATAGATGACAGTTTGTCACCTTATGTGAGTCTTTACCATTTACCCTTCTGAATTACAATCCCTAATACAGGTAAATAATTCATACTCATTAGCTGGGAAGAGACAAGATGAAAAGATGCACAACTACACTTGCAACTTTTACCATGGTATTTTTAGGATTTACTTGAAAATGCACATCTGTACATCAGTCCTGTTCATATTCCATGGATACTGCAACAGTAATAGATGCAAAAGACAGGTGGGAAACAAAGCGTTTCTCTTTTGTTTCAAAAGAATTAACTTTCAGGAGTGGAGAATGCCAGGATATTAAAGCTTACTAATCACTTAAAACACAATGCAAACATTAATTACAGCCGATGTAAGTAAAAGCTAAATACACTCTCAGGATCTTTCAGATTTTCTATGCTATACATTTACAGACAAGGTATAAATGGCATGCATCTTCAGAATTTAAAATGCATTTCATGGGTTTGTCTTTATTGTGATGTTTGAACGCAATTCAGACTCTTTACTTTGCCTTAGCACGACTGGAAATTTCACCAGTGTTCACACACCCAGCAGTTACACTTAATTCTTCGAAGCTCCATGAGGTACATTCACCTCCTGTTTACTTTGTCTTCATCCAGTATTTGGTTCTCCTGAACAGAGACCACCAATGCTGATGAATTCTTGAGGCTTTCTGGGGTGGGCAACCAGCCACCTGGCACCCGATAGAGACCACGTGTTGCTGTACACACTGCCTTTGACAGGCATAAACACAGCTCCTTATAAGTCTAAGTCTAGAACACGAGCTCAGGGCATGACTTTGCTTTCAAGTTTTATATACAATATTGAAGAGTATGTTATCTGTATCCATTTCTGCATTTTCTGTCAGTTCAGAGACCTTCATCTGAAGACATCAATTTAAGGTAGAGGACACAGAATTTAAATTCAGGATGCAAAGGTATTTATGACTTGCAATGATTACACACTGTTGGAGGCATTTGAAAGATGCTTTTTTTGTTCAGGACATACTTTGTTTGCCAGAGTCAGCTGAAAGTATTAATGCAATTAAAAAATCTCAAATGTCACACAAGGTAGATATTCACATAAGATACAGTCCTGCTAAGTGCACACTCTTCTTGTCATTGTTCAATTCAGTGTTGGTTTCACAGTAACAAACACAAATTGTCCTCATTTCTGTATCATGTCTATGGAGTCATGGGCAGCAACAACAGATGCAGACTCAGTCTGTCACTCCAGAAGGAATACGAATGTGCTTAAAGCTGCTTCATTTATGAAGCGAACACGGAACTGTTACCTGCCTGAAAAGAAAAACAAAAATTCTGATTTTGCTGATTAGTTTTCCTTTCTGTATTACTAAACAGTAGATCTTTTCAAATACATACAACATAGACATGTTTTTCTTACAATTTTGGAAATAAATTTAATGACACTTGCATAGGGATTTCTTTACTCAGAAGGAAAAATGTTATAAAATGTACTTTCCTGATGCAAGAACACACTTGCCTGCAAAAGCTCATTGACAACATCTAAGGTAATGGAACCACTCTCGTGTTTTACATAACTGTTTGGGCATTTTGGTATTGGCAATCTCTGGCAGCAAACTTCCCTTTGAAGTCATCTGGACAAACCAAACTGAGTTTACATCTTTGGAAAAATAGAACAACTTGTCCAATGCAGTGACAACTTTGCTTCTCAATGAGCATATGGTAGAACAAAGCAGTTAAGGAGAATGGAAAACTTCTCAAGTTGCAGCTAACTCAATCATATTGAACACCTGAGAGTAACTGCTACAGGATGAACTGCAAAACTGAGATTGTCTGTTATACTCTAGCGCTGCTCTTTCCACTCATGATAAATAATGAAGAGTTCAGCACTATCTGAATTTTCCAGACTCTTACATAGATGCCATGGGTTAAATATAGCACATTTTCTGTGGTAAGCCTCTTGCCAGAGAAGTGCTGCTCTGCAGAGGACAGCTGGAACTGAGAAACCTCACCTTTGCTGCTCACTCTTACACACTAAAGTATGACTGATGCATCTGATAAGGCTACAGAGACTACAGAAATGTGCTGACTAAGTTGCAATTATATAAAAGCTCAGCTCTACTTGGCCTGTTCTCCTACACTCACCTGCTAAGTTTACCAGATTGTGCTTTTTAGTTCACCTTGCTTTGAAACAGCTGTAGTGTAACAGCTGAAGGCTTCTCTGTATCAGCTCTAACACCAAAAAGGAGAAGCAGTAGCTGTCCTTTATTCTGGAATTCTTGTAAATTTCATTTTGAAGCATTCAAGTTAAAAATCAAAGGTCTACATTAATGATACAGGACTAATTAAATTAGCTGCTAAAGATCTTATACACCTATTAAATGCTAAATTCTTTTTTTCCTGAAAATGGACCCTGAATCACTTTATATTGCAGCAGCTGAAAGTAGTTTAGTCTATGCTAAAACTCTCACAACAACCAACTTACCAGTACACGAAACAGTAACAGTGTTGAGGGAGAAAAAGCAACAGCTACACTTGTAGATGTTCCTTTTCTTTTTGCTGCAACACACTGGGTGGGGGGGGGGAAAAAAAAGCTACTTTATTACTTCAGTAATAGCCTTCCAAGGAAATAGAATAGAAGGGTTTATAAGCTAGTTAAAATTTAAAGGAGGGAACCCGAAGAATTATAATTCATTTTTGATATGCGTTCTGCCTACTTATAGATGAATATTTCTAATTTCTCAGGGAGGAGAAATTTGTAATGGTCATCTATGTCATGCATGCCAAAACACATGCCATACATTTACGAAGGCATCTGATAGAGAATGCAATCTGTTTCAAATTCCTGCAAAGGCCCTCTCCTGCATTTAACTGTGTCATCTTTTCTTCATATAAAAAATGTTTTGTATTTTCTGTGAGGTTAAAAGGAAAACTTATGTTCCATTTCACAGGATTTAACACCTATGAGGATGACGTGCAGAATGAGTTATTTGTAGAAACTAATATACTTGGCAAAATGAATACACAGCCTTCCATTCTAGATACTGTATATGAAGAAAATTTGTTTTAAGAATTTACTACTTTAGCAAGATTTAACATGGAAAATTTCAGCTCCTGTGGCCAAACTGCTAGATCAGAACCTTGCCTATTTGTCCCTTCACCAATGGGCAGCACGAGGCATTTCACACAGTGTGAGGACACTACAGGACATGTCCTTCTGCCACCTGCATCAGATCTTTCCCTAAATCATTCATAGTTAAAATCTGACCAAACATCATTAAATATGAAGTTAAACAATACTCTCAAAATGCTTTAGCACGGACTACTCTTACTTAAAATGTCCCCAAGTCCTTTCCTGGATTTCACAGAATTCCTTGCCCAAGTCATGTCCAAGGAACTTCAAAGCCTTGAACTGTTATTTCTAAGATATTTTTGATTCATTCAGAACCTTCTCTCTTTAATAATCAGACAAATCAGTGTATAAGTAGGAAGAGAGCTGTGAATCATTTCAGGACGACCTTAAGAAGTTATTAGCATTTGAATGAGTTCGTATTAATTTTCCACAAATATTAAAAAAAAAAAAAAAAAAAAAAAAAAAAACCTGGAAAACATAGTACCCTGGGGAATGTAAAAAAGTGAAAGAACATAAAAAATGTTATTGTAAAAGGTATTTAAAAGGATTTAGTAGCACAACCACAAAGACATTGCTTTCTATTTATTTCTATAAATTCAACCTAGCTTTACACCACACAGCAAATAACATTTACTTAATTTTGTTGGTTTTCCTACAGGTCTCAGCAATCCTTTCTCACAGTAGGAATAAAGACAGACAAAAAAAATGTCCCCATAATAAAATGCTGTATGCAGAACTATCCTCCCTATCAATTTCTGTGTTTAAACCAGAAAGTCCTTTAAATGGCACACTCTAAGCACATATTTTACCTTTGCAGCAAGACCTTGTGTTTGGGGTTTTTTTTGTGTTTGTCACACAGCTAAACAGGAAGTAGTTCTCAGAGATAAAATTACACCTGTAAATACAAATTTTAAGTGAAAAAATATACCTTATCTCATTTTCCTCTTGATAGTCATGGCACTGTGTAGTTTCATCACTTTCTGGTCTGGATTTGGGATGTATTTTCTAGGAATAAAATGCACTAAATATAAATATTCTAAATCTATAAATATTCTAAAGCTTTCTTTAGTCACTAAACAATTGAATGTTTCAATTTGCTTCAGATGTTCAATATCAAAGTCATCTTGCAAAATGTAGGCTAAACCTTGTACTCTAACATACATCTACTACTGATATAAATTTTACTCTTGAAGTCTTTGTATTGCAGGCAGGGGCATAGGGGCCAAAGGCAAAAGAATTCTTTCTCAATATACAAAAGGAGAAATGGAAAATTGAGTGAATCACACAATTTCTGTTTCCAGTTAGAGAGCAATCATGCTGATAAGTCAGGATTTGCACTTTGATGGTAGAATTCAAGAACTTGACACACAGATTTACATCTGCAAGTCACAGTTAAGTGGAGCTCAAAAGAGGTATCGCTTGCTTTCAAACACAGAATGGTTCTCATATTCTCACCTCCCCACACTATGTAAACAATTATATGTAGTATCTCTTACCTTCCAGTATATGGCTCCCAAAATAAAGCCAATAAGGAGAGACAGCAATGATGTCAGTGCTATGCTGATCCCTTGCAGGCTGGAGCTGCTAATGAAGCCAAGTGCTTCATCTGTAATTAAAGATACTCTCATTAGTGAAGACAGATTTATAGCAGAAAACTGTCTTCAGGGCAATACTATTAGCAAGAGCACTTTCATGCACCACCTACATAACAGCATCTTAAATAGCAGAACAGATACTTCAAAGTGCAATGTACATGAGATGCACTTCATACAAAATCTCACAGGAAATTTCTGACCACAAGGATGCTCCACCCACTTCTGAAACAACAGTGTTGAAAAGTACCAGCACCAATTCTCTTTTTGCCATTTGCAGAGAACCATCTCTTTCCCACACTTCAAAGTTTTGGATTTCTTAATTTTTAAAGGTTTTACTTTGAAACACAAAGCACTTATTTGGAAAAGAATATATACCAATTCATGCATTTGCACTAGTTCATCAGGCAGCTCCCACTGACTGCAGGCACTTTGCCTTACTATTAATCAATGACCAACATGAAGGCTCTCAGGGGAGGTTAATTTAACAGAATAAACCTGATCACTTCTAAAACTTCCTGGAAAGGTACCGCTGACTTCAGCAAGATCAAACCCTTGTACCTTGAGTTTTAACACTGTGTTATTTAGTTATAAGTATTTCATGATAGCTTTTAACATTTTGTATAGAAGAGCACCAATCCTATTCTTTTATGTACACAAACAATTCCATTTCCCTCACTGGGAGCTGTATGCGTGCTGAGGTTAAAATTTGTGCCTTTGGTTATTTCATTAAGAGCAGGATGTGGAAAGTCCAACAGAATCACCTGGGGACCCTCCTGAAATGCAAAGTGAACCTCAGGAGACTGGTCTTTTAGATGTCGTGCACGGAGGTTTGGTTCATTCCAAACTGTGTGTCTGCAGCTCAAATGGTGGGTGTATTGACAGATTACAGAAAAAGAACCAAACTGTAAGCACTGGAAAAGTGTAGGTGATTGGATACACAGAAATGAAAATGAACTGACAGCACTCAAAATTTGCGTGACTCATGCAAACAGCAAATGTCTAAGCACACACAGTATGATATTCTGGGTCAAACAACATGTGTTTAGTACATTATTAAACAGCCTCCAAGAAAATACATTAGTTTAGAAAGAAGTGTTCTTATAATTAACTAGCATCTCATTTTCAACTCTCAGATTTTTCTGTTGACATTTTTCAAGTTTTAGACAAATATTCTTTTTATCTCTGAAGTTCAGCTGTGTTTTCTAGGCTCAACGTTGTTAGAAATAACAAGACAACATAAAATCTATATCTTATATATTCGTATACTACATACATCTGTGTCTCACACACTGTTTACAAAGTCTAGGTTCTGACTGTAGGGGCTTGAGTTTCACCTATATCTGGTAGCTTCGGCACACTAAAAGGAAACATCAGTCAAGCAGAACTGATGCCAGTTTACCATGAAAGAAATCTGTCTACAGAAGGGAAAGATAGCAGACAAAGTTCTACAGAGGTGAACATCAGCTGAAAAAGAGAGGCTAGTGATTAGCCTGCCTCTCTCTGCTCAGACATTAAAGCCAAGTGCAGACATTAATTGGGGAGACATAACCTTTCTAGCTTTCTGTCTCAGATTAGGCACAGAGGATGTTTGCTTGCAGAGCTGATCTGCAAGAACACTGGGCAAAATCAAGTAGGTGGGGGCAACCTGAACAACACTAGAAATGCTCTGCTGTCATTGTTTATCTAAACTATATTCTCAGAAGAAAATTCTGATATTGCTCTTATGCTCTAAGCAAGTAAAAAGGAATCCTCATTTGCCTAATGCCATTCCTCTCAGTGAGAGACTGCTGAGTTTTACAGCTAAATTATGTAAATCATATGGGGATGGCTACGTTTTCTGGATTCCACCCTGCAAACTTCAGAAAAAAAAATTAAAAAGTGAAATAAAAATCAAAGGAAAGACTCTTCAGGTCATGTAGAGCATAATGTGTTTGATAACATGTTATGGTAGAGTGCATAACCTCAAAAACCTTCTGCCTACAGTGCTGGGCAGCATGTCATGGCAAGCATGCTGTTTTTTACATGAACTGCTAGAGAAATATTCTGCATGCAGGATAATCAGTGATAATTTTGTACCTTTGTTTTTAACAGTATTTTTCAAAAACTTAATGCAATTTAAGACAACAGAAGAGACCCCTTTATAATGAGGTATCTAAAACTGGAAAATTCTGACTTCTGAAAAGTTATCTCCAATGCAGATGATTTCTTAATCATCTATGGAAAACTGAAAGGAATTTATAAATTGCTTTCCATGTGAGGACATGCAATCCAGGGATCGAGCCTAAATCCAGTCCTATTATAATGCTTTTCTTAGCCTACCTTTTAAAAATAACAACAGATTTTCCACAACCTGACAGAGTATGAATTAATTTGAAAGTTAAGTAATCCATAACTACCTTAAAAAGCAAGCAAAACCAGAATATTTAATTTCACTTTCAAGTCCAGAAAAAATTCTCTTGAAAGATCTGTGGAGAATGAAATGAGTCATGGCAGGTTTCTTCATGTGCCTTTTATTTATATTAAAATTTAAAACAGAACAGGCTGAAGAATTTTCAGTCTGGAGAACTTCCCAGGGACTTGTCTTAATGAAGAAAATGGAGAGAAAGAAAGAAAGCTGGCTACCACAGGGACCTTTTTGTCTGTTAGAAACTTTGGAACTCTACACAGAATGATTCTGATTCCCATCAGTTGTAAAGGCAGAGCAGGAGAAGGAATAGCAGGAATCAGGTGTACCAATAAGTTTATGAACACTTTGGGCAATGCCAGAGGAACTGCTGACTCTATCCAGCAGAGTGAAAAAAGGGAGTGGATGCAGGCCAGCACCTCTCAGAGCTCTCACTCTGTATCTTGTGGAAGATTCCCTAAGGAAGTGAACTCATTTGATGCTGATTTATGTATAGTCTTCATGGACATTGTGATGTTAAGCTGTAAACAAAATATATTTACATTAAAAGTCATTCAGCTACACAATGAAGTTTTTGAGCCGTTTCCTACATTGAGCCATATGTGATTATGATTGAAAGCACTGGCTTTTTTTTTTTTTTTTTTTTTTGCCATATATGTCTCAAAGGAATTTCCAGTTTACCTCTGCTCAGTTCCAACACAATTACCACAAGATCTTATCTGTAAAAATGCAGAGCAGCTCTCACCTGTTCATTAGGGTTTTCCATTAACTATTAAGTTGTAACAAAGGAACAAAGGTACAGAAGGCAGCACCAATTGCATTAAGCCATGGGTGAACATTTTAAAATTGTTGTGCAATTACTGAATTAAACTATGGTATTTTTTGCTTAATTAGAAAAGTAGACCTTCTTCCTAAAAACAGTTACAGAGATCTCTGTGTTTACATGCTCTTTGAGCAACTCAGTACTAAATAATAGGGCTAAATTATTATGAGGAAATTACAGACAAAAATGTAAGAAGGCAACACTGAGCTCTTCATGAAGTTAAAGAACGTTATGGCATTCAATTGAAGGAGAAGTTTTAGTCACAGCTAGTAAGTTCAAGCTTTGATCAGAGCAACATGAAATTCATCTGATGGCTTCAGCCACTGAAAGAAGAGATTAGGACTCTAGACTTCTTATCCTGAACCTTCTTCTTTACATAGGAACCCTCTTATCCACATTCTCTAGACAATGTGTGGTATAATCATGCAGAGAAATATGAGCAAGACTGGAACTTTAACAGCTAATTGGAACTTCAGTGGATTACAGTCAGGTAACACAAAGAGGAAAAAACAAAGCAGCCTAAATAAATTTGGGGTGGTGGCTGTAGTCTTTTGAGAATTTTATGAGAAATAAGAAAAGATCTTTCTGCTTTTGAGAAAAGATGAAGGAGAAACATATTACAAGTCTACATTCAATATACAAAAATGAATAAAGCACTATTACCATGCAAAAACCAATTACAATAGCATAATTGTTCTATTTTTCATTTGGCTGAGCTAAGACTTTTTGTGTATATTTAGCTGCGATTCTACTCTATTATTTAGTTTAATTTTATTGCTGTGTAAGAACAATGGAGTAATGAAATATGACTCAACAAAAGTAGCAAGAATAAAAATATGTAACTTAGCTAATTTATATACAATTTCTATTATATTTCACAAATTATTTTATTGGATTATGCACTTCACGTTTGTCTAAGTTGAATTTAGAATTGGGGCAGTTCAACTCATCTGACTACATAGACTGTATTAATAGATTCAAAATATATTAATTTGGAGGGGCTCTTTTGCAAACACTAAATGCTTCTAAATGCTCTAGAAACTATTAAACTGAAAAATAACTCAGCTTAAAACTGTTTAAAATTAAAGGGTTAATTTAAAAAAAAATTACTGTAGTTTGTGTCTGAAGATGCTTTTCTTCAAGCTTCCCCTTTTCTCAATGTTTTCCTTTTTGAAATTTGAATTTAGTGGTGCTTTTCTGAAAACAATACTGAAGCCAGGGGAACACTATGCTGGGGAGTCTTTACAGGGGAAGTGCTAAGGTTTATTCACTGTCATTCATACCAAGAAGGTAAGGATTAACTAAAACCAAAATTTCCTCAGCAATGAAGTCAAGACAAAACTACGATTGGCACTAAAGGCCATTTCAGGGAATAAAACAGTGATAAAAATAAAACAGTCAATAAAGATTCCACAGCTCCCTCCCTGCAAAAAACCTCCAAATGAGTAACTGCAGTGTAACAAGTCAGCATCCAAATTAATGTAATTTAATCTGATTATGAGTTCAAACTGTCCCCAGACCCAGCCAGACATGTAGTCCTCATGTAATTTCTACATAAGGCTGTTAACTGATATCCAATTTTCCAATAAATTGCTTAAGAGAATGATAATCAGTTAAAACACACCTGTACAGCATATGGTAGGCAAGCAATTTACTGCATTATTTTAATTAAGCTTTTTTCCTACTTGATTATCAGTTCCAATTATAAAACAAGATTAATAATCCTACTTTTGCACTCTCCTCCACAATACAGACACAGGTGCCACACTCCACTGCGCTGCCCGGCACCCCTTCTCCTGTTACTGTACGGGGTCAAACTGCTTTCATCTGAACTGCTCCTGTAACCTGTCTGTCTTTTGGCTTCTTGATCCATTCCCATTGCTTCAGGCTGTGGCTGAATATTTTTCCTCTAGCAATGACAGCAAAAATTATCACATGTTCAGACCTGAGAGAGACAGGTATGAATACTTTAACCCCTTCCGAGTGCCTCAGAGTTGGCCCTGGGCTCATCAGGTTATTTGCAGACAGCTCTGTGACCTCCTGGCAAGAAATCTACCACAGTGAGTCTTCTCTTTTCCGAAGACTCAGGCTGGCAGCCAGAAGTGGAGGGTTTTTTTTAATTCCTTCTACTCTGAGGGTTCTGGGCTCTGATGACTTAAGACCTACTCTTAATTAGAAAGCAATCAAGAAGGGCTTCAAATCTGATAGCAGCTGTGAGCCAACTACGAGGTAGCATTCATGGTGCTAAAAGCCCAGAGGGTAACTAGATTACACATTCCAAAGAGAAGGATCATGAGAAAACACACAGGCCTAGTAGCAACTGTGTCACCAACAGAAGCTACCATTGTGCCCACTAGAATACATCAGGCTGCCCCTCTGCACATATTTCCTCAAGCACAGGGAGTACCAGTGACATACTTCATCATTACACATTCAGATAACAGAGATGCTTGTGAAGTGAAAAGGGGAAATTGTAAAGAGAGCTAGATACATGTTGTCATCTTGACGTGTCTGGGAAACGAGAACGAGGAAACAACAAGGTTAAACTTTGATCACCATTTCAGGAACCTCTAAGGAAAATCCCCTCTTGTTCACGTGGGAAGCTCCAGATAGTGTTCACCTTGTTGTACATGATGTCACTAAAAGCCCCTGAAACTTCACTATTTCCTTTCACCTCAGTCGCCTATACCCTTTCTGACCTCGTGATAGGTAATGTTGAGGCTCTTACAGCAACAATTCTGGACTCTTATCAGGGAGCTGTCATGTAAAAAGTGATCAAGACAGATAAGAAAGGAGGACATGAGTATGCCAGAGAGAAGATTACAGCCTGCCAGAAAGACAGTGACTTTGTCATTAACCCCAAGCGAAAGCATGCTGACTTGTGGAGGTGGCCCTACTGCAACTACACCAAACAAACACAGGGACTGTCCTCAGGGCTGGTGTAAAGCTTGGTTGGGATTGACAGCACCCTCAAAATGCAATGTACAGGTATCGTCTTTGTTCACATGAGTCCCCTCATCCGATTTAGGATAGCCATTCTGTTCATTTGGAGCAACTTCCTTTTCTGAGAGTTAAAATGAAGTGTCTGGCCAAATTTTCTGAGGCCATATGACTAGTGAGACCTCATGACAGCCAAAACGAAGAGGCCTGCCCTCTCCAAGTTGTAGATTGCTGTCACATAATTGTAACTCGATTGCATCTCTACATTTTGATTAGATAAGTTCATTGCATTTCAGTATGACAGCTGAGAAACACATGGTACACCATCAGGAACATGTAACTTCCCATTAATTTGCACAATTAATGACATTCTTTTCCTCTGAGCTCTCACAACCAGCTACCAGAACAAAATGGAGACATATATTCAATCACTTGTACTTACTGTTATTGCTAGTGCTACTGCCAATGCTGTCATTCCTAAGAGAGCTGGCAGCAACAGGAGGAAACAAAAATGTTTTTGTGACAGCGACTCTGGAATCTAAATAGAAAACGAATGTGTCAGAATTATGAAACTTAAAATACAGTTCCCTGTATATAGGATGATGGGCTACAGGACTACTCTAATGTGACTATAGGGTTGTTTTAAGAGCTGGCTGTAGGATTGTTCATAAAGTGGATTAAGCCAAAAAAGGCAGGTTTATTAAGAGGCAGAAGTGTCTACATGCTGAGCTGCTGGTGAATAGCTAATCTGGAAAAGCAGTTACTGCTTACAACTTCTTAAGTTATGGCACTGATTTGCTTCTAGTTACTACTGATGTAACTGTACAGCTGGACACACTGCCCTAATTAAAAAGCTAATATGTGTCACTAGAGAGAGTAAAAGAAAAGGTAATACAAACCTCCATTTACTGGAAGGATAAGAAAGAGCTGCAGGAGCTTGACCTGAGCTTGTTAAAATGTTCAAATGAAGTAAACATTTCTCTGTTCAGGAAAAGTGGGATTAAATTGAAGGTGACTTGAGGCTGCTGTGATTTACAGATTGTCCTAACTTCCTCTCCTTTCAGTTGTGCAATCTTAGGCTCTTTTACCGCCTTATAAAACCAAATAGAGCATTAAGAGAAGATAAGAAGGAGAATGTAAAAAAGACAATTCAGGATATATTTTGGATGAATAGAAACAGAGCAGCATAATGTGAGGTTATTTTGATTATACTGAGAAATGATGTATCTAGGAGTGATGGCACTAGAACTTGACTTCTAACAGTGACACAACCTTCAGTATCAGTAGTTATTTTAACTTGCAGTAAAAAGGTGACATGGATCTTTAGCATCTCTGAAATCCAAGGAAAATCACACATTTATATCTGCCTAGGTTCTGCTCCCCAAAAGGAGACCCCTCTTACCATTCTCTGGTGTTCCTACTGTTGAAGGCAGAATGCAGTCATTCTTATCCAATCTGTCTGCAGACTCTTTGTAGACCTCAATGGTACTATTAAAGTGCCTAAAAAAATCCTCAGGAATGAAGTGACCTTCTTCATAAAGGTGACCATTTTCTTTTACAAAATCCTAGAGTAAAATATAGAATTCAGCTTGAAAGAAGGTCAAGGGAGATGCTCATTTCAACACCTTAACAAATGATAAAAATACCCAAAGATGATAGAAAATCATTTATATTTTTAACCTCCAGACAACCAGATTAGCTGCATACAATCTTCATAAAACAAAGAAACCTTCTGATCTGAGGATTTCAAATTAGCTTTGCAAATAGAAATGAATTATTAATACAGTGTTGCAAAATTGCTAAGGAATGAAAGACAGTCTCCCATCCTATACTGAAAACCAAGAGACTTTTTAAAATTCCCCTCATTAATAAACCCCCCCTTGATTTCACATTACTTTGCAAAGTTTCACATGAGTCTTTTAATCTGAACACATGAACAGGACATTCATTGGTATTGTCATCAAGAGAATGTGGAACAGAATACAATAGCTGGGGTACACCACTGCTCAGAAACAGGCAGAGATCCCTGATAACAGACCTAAAAATAAAAACAACTATAAACAAGGAAGCCCAGTCACTCTGAGGTCTAACAGACACGTTTGTTATGCCAGACTAAACAACATGATTTTGAGATCCATGGTGATGATTGAAGGTTTTCTTCTTTTTTTTTTTATGTCAGCAAGTCAAGTTTGGTCTGGGGTTACTCTGTACTCTTAAGAAGAAGGACAGTGGTAAGAACATGGTCTAAGTATGTCCTAAAGAAAACCTCCTGGTTTTGGCTCCAAAATTATTTTATGTTTGATGGTGAAAGTACTAGACTTAAGATCATTATTCTCTAAGGAAATCAATAGCTAGTTGTTTTGCTGAACTACAGGATATTTACTTTGCCATTCTACAAAATAAAATTCCTCAACCCCAACCACATCCCAGCTGAGTGTTTTGAATCATCAGGACAAAAATAGAAAAGAAAAAAAATATATACACTGAAGATTGGAGATAATTCAGTTTGAAATGGAAAAGTAGGGAATATCTAAATACAGCAGTGCAATGCAAGTACATGGCAAGCTTACAAGGTTATTCCATTCTAAAGGCACCTGAGTGTTTACTTATTTGATTCATTCTGGGTGTTGAAAAGTTGCAATTACAAAAACTAAGGACTTAGCTGAGATAAAATACTTGCTCTAAAGGACATGGTGTATTTTACCTGTTTTATTCGTGGGACAAAACCTTCAACTACAGAACTTATTTTTAATTACTGATAGTCTGGTCAGATCTGGATAACAGACTAGAAAATTAATTTCTTCCCCCCTTCCCTGCCTGCACAGAAAATCAGACATCTCTTGAGCGAGAATCCTTCCAGCTGCTGTCAGATTCCAGAAACACACGGAAATGGACAAATATCCTCTGGTCTTTGCTGTGCCTTTGTATAAAAAAGTTAATTAAACCATGGAGAAACTTTCAGAGCTTCACACACTGTGATAAATACTAAGAGTATATTAATAGCTTTAACCAAATCATCTTTAAATTTACATTAAGGTCACTAGCAAAATATATAATTTAAGCTGGATACACAAGGAAGATTTCTGCTAGTTTCAAAAAGATCAGAATGGATTAATTATCTTAAGGAAGATCACTGCATTTCTGACTTTAAATAACTGCATACAGGCCATTGTATTCCTTCTAAGCCATTTTTCTTTGAAACAGGAGATAAAAATTAACCAATGTTAGCACAGTGTACCCAATGCATTTCTAAAGAAAGTAGGATTTCAGGAATAGAAATGAAAACAAATCTAATACAGCCTTGGAAATTCCTAAACTATTCCTGAATATTGTGCAACAGAAAGTAAAAAATAAATATCCAGTACAAAAGCTGAAACTCTGTATAAAATTACCTTGTTTTTATCAAAAGCAAGGCATGCCATAAGATCATTGATTATCCTTGTGAGATTATTGATGATTGAATAGTTGCTTAAAACATCCGACATATCTGGAATATCTGAAAATTTCTGGAGAAGATTATGTAGACTCCTTGAAAATTCAGGCACCATCAAATGTAACCAACAGTGACTAGGCTGTCAGGGGATCAAAAGAGAAAGAGATGTAAATTGAATAACAGATATTTGTAAAAACTGGTTAAACATCTCAATGTGCAAAAATAAATTAGACTGTTCTTTCCAATTTAAACTCTCTCAAAAGTATAAATTACAATCCTTCTTTAATCTGACCAATTTTCTCTTCAGTCCTTTTGGTAATATTTCTATTGTCATTGATACTGACATATTTATGGCTGTCTGTTAAATGCCATCCCTTCATTAAATTCTCAATGAATGCCAAGTGTCATTGGGTTGAGTATTTGAGCCTTGGAACTTGTTACTATGAACCTTAGTCCATGCTTTTATTAACCTATTTGTTTTCTTTTCAATTCCTACTGCCCTAACAATTCTTTAAATATCAATTTTCATTTATTGTTGTTACCTTACATGACTCAGTTAACCCCAGAGATCCTTGATTCAAATTTCTATTCAGGAGGGATTCCATAAAAATTTTGCATGAAATCCCTGTGTGCTTTTATCCACCTTTAAACTAGTCAGCTGAGTTAATTCTTTCTCTTCAGCTTTTTCATTAAATGCCATTACTGGGAACAGTTTCTAGATCTAAAAGCCTTTCTTCTTCCTGAGTCTTTGATAACAAAAGTGTTCTGCACAGCCTGTCACTGTATACACTAACACCTATGCAATTAGTTTGCAAACAAAGTTTGTACAGCTGTTCACATGACTGAAACCTGGTAATTCATCTTGCTGTCTTAGAGGAAGTCATTAACTGCTTTTACTTAGTTATATATAACATATATAACAGTAGTCAAATAGAGGAAAGAGTCACCCAGCCCAGGAAAATCCCTAACATGGCATGATCAGCAAAAATACAGGTAATGCATTAGTCAGAACTGCAATTTGTACCTCTAAATACCTTCCCAATGAAAGCTAAATTTTAATGGCAAATGTTATGAGAATTTATTCCATATATGACATTATTTTTCCAATATTGAAAATGTCTCATTAAAGCCTTCCAGATACAAATATCTTGGCCCAACAAACCCTAAGTACTCTCAGTATCACTAAATCAGTTTCCAGTTGCTGCCCAGTGGATAGGCAGCACCCACTGAATCCACCTTCTGTAACACACAGCAAATGTTTGGCAATGTACACACTTCTAGGCTTAATCTCATTTACTCAATTTCTTCAATAAACCTGCATTAAAAAAAAAAAATAAAAAAATCCACAGGTGTTGCTCTGCTTTGATGTGTAAATCTTTCTGACAAGAAAAAATACACTTCTCGTTTCTGAAGACTAACCAGACCTATATTAGGCTTCTAGGCTTAGAGAACCAAATGCAAATACATTGCTCAGCTCCACCTGAATTTCCACCTCTGTGTACAACTCTCTCACACAATGATAACCAGTGGCAAGTAAGTAATATAACCTTTTGCAATTATCTCAACAATGACTTAAAAAAGAAAGAAACAGAAAGCAAAATGGATAGCATTTGCTTGAGTCTGCTTCCTCTTTTTCCTTCGAGAACAACAAGGTGGGGGAGGAGGCAGGAGCAAGTAAATCAGAGAAAGCTTGTTGAAACATGTTCTGTTCAAGCAGCGCATGTGGTGCCATGTCCCACCGCTTCCACGAGACAGGCAACGCATTTTCTTTCCTCTGCTTTGGGGTGGGAGCACTGACACAGAACTAACTACTGTGCTTCCCTGAACTGGAAACCTCAAAAACCTTTTCCTTTGAGGTTTTGTGGGTGAGCATTCTCCTCTGGCAGGGACTAGCATAAGCTTGCTGCTTCTCCTAGTGAGCATTTGGCAATTCCAGCAGGGAGTCTATTTTGCTGCTCCTGTGGTTTAGCATGCGTGTGGGAGTCTCCACTAACTGAACTGTTCTGACCTACAAAGCTGTATTTCACAAAAGCTCTAAGTTCTCTTTTCAGTAATGTCAAGCTGTGCAATCATTTGCTATGTCAATACCTACCAAACACAGGGATAAAACTGTTCTAATTGAAAAATATGACATTATTTGCAAAGAGAAATGGAGGCTCTACTCTGATATTTTGTGCAAACTTTCACCAAGATTTACATTTTAGGGCAATTGCAAATGTGATTTCCCTTGTACTTCAGGGTAGCTCTCATTCGGCTTTTACTTTCTAGATCTGTGTAAAAGTTTGAATGTTATCTCCTCTTCTGAATTCAGCCCCTTGCTGTCATCTCTGCCTTTTAACCTGCAGGTTCGACTACACAGTTTACTCTACACAAGACTATTTTTAAAGCCACTCAGTTGCCTTGAGCTAGTACATAATGCAACAACCCTTCTGTTTAATGGATGGTCAGTCTGTTCCTGTTACATGCACTACACTGGCTTCCCATCTGCTTTGTGTTCACCCTGCCTTCCTACCTTTAGTCATTTACATTTGGGACTTGCTACCTTGGGTACACTTCCCACTTTATGCATGCACTGAAGATTAAAATCTACTGAAAAAAATTGCAGAGCACCATTTCAATCCTTTCAGAGTTGAGCAAAGGGCGTTTACTTTAGGCAAAGCCATGGGTTTCCCAGCTTGCATGGACCAGAGCAAAGCCTACTTATTTAGCAAGCCTCGCTGTGGTATGCATAACACAACCTGAAATTCCCAGAGAGGAATTTGGCAAAGTGGGATCTGAATACTGCTGAATACTTTCCCCTGTGAAGGCGTGTGGCCAAGAGCTGCACCTGCCATTACCATGACTGAAAGCAGTGTGCAAAGGGAACATGGAAGCCTCAGCTCTGAACTTCTCTTCTTCCTTTTTATTTCTTGGCTGCTTGTTGTAAATGTAAACTGGATCTAAATTCCTGGATATATCAAGATGACATAGCACTGAAAAGAATGGAAAAGAATCTGCATACTGGCAGTCAAAATTGAACCATGGAGAGAGGCAAGAGAGAACAAGTAGGGCTCATGGCTCAAGCAGGTTCCCTGGCCTTCTTCATCTGCCAACACCCCCGGGGGTGCAGTGGAGGAACAGCCCCAGTCTAGCTAATAATGGGCTGGAAGCTGGGGAAACAGCACTTAGGCTACAGCTGTCAACACAGGTGTGAGTATCATCACACCAGACACCAAGATCAGTGAATTTCAAAAAGTCCAGCAGTCAGGGGATGGTGGCAGCCAGTCTTGCTTCCTTTTTCTCTAAATATTGGATATTCTAAGAAATGGAAAATTTTCTATTAGTTTTATTTATATGGGACCTAGTACCTGACTTCCATAGCATTTATTCTGCAGTTTTCCTGTCTAAGGAACCAACTTTAAACTGGGTTTTCCAAAGTACTCTAACTTTTATGAAAACCTCAAGCTTCCAGCAGAACTCTTAAAAACGCTTCTACATCTGACATAACCCTTCATAACCTTACAACTCAGAGCCCTTCACTATCCTGAAGCTTCCTTTTCCTCCTCCCATCTTCTTGTTATTCAGGATTGAATGTTGCTTCTGGCATCATTTGCCAATATCAATAGGGAATATTGCTAGATTTGCCACATTGTTGTAGGGTAGGATATATTTTTATATGTGTATCACATACAAATCAGATTTTTACAGTGAAAAATTTGTACAGACACAAAACCAGCTTCTATTTAGCAGATATTTTCCAGCTACTGATGTATGTGTACATGGATTAATTTTTAAGACAGGCACAGTGTTGTTCAGCTTCACTGACAAAATCACGATTTTCTTACTTTTTTCCTTGCCTTAAAATAATATAGCATTCAGCACAATTTGTACTTTCACCTTGTTTCCTTTCCTCCTTTTTATTGCAATGTATGCAACAACCAAGTTTTCAATACAAAATTTCAATTTTTGTTTTGTTAAATTGAGGAAAACCAAAAATATGTAGTAGATTGAGCAATAAAATAATATGATTTTAAAATAAAAATGTTATAAAATTTTAAGATGTATAGATAATGCTTATTTGAAAGTACCACTATGTATTAAATATGGGATTATAAAGAAAGAATAACACAAAGTATGTTTGAAATTCTACTGGTTTGTTTAGTTAGCGATGCTACCATTTGTTGAACTTGGGGTTCTCTTTACTGGCTACTTAGTATTTGTTGTGCTGTAGTGGCATTTCCACTGGCTGAAACAAGAAGGACTTCTACAGTATGTTCCAAAGTACAATTACAGAGAACCTATTTCTTTAAGAAAGCAATATTTTTCAATTGACACAATGAAATAATATTGATGAAATAACAACACAATGAAAAATTGACTTTTCACAGAAAAAAAAATTAAAAAATTTAATATGAAGAAAGACTTTCCTAGAATTCCTGTACTTAAATAAATTTTAAAGAACTGCAGAAATCTCTCTACATTTCTTTTAAATAAATGCTTGGGAACCATATGAAAAGTGAAATAAACATTATTTAAGTGTAACTTGCTAAGACATAAGACTAGGTAAAAAATGTTACAGCCATCACTGGTTCCAGTGGGCTATTTTATTGGGAATAACCTGAAGTGGTTGTACGTACCAGACTATCCATCTTCGGGACATATTTAAGGGTTATCATATAATCATTTGGGAGATTTCCAACCTACAATAAACAGATAATAAAAATGTTATTACTTACTACACAAAGAAATACTTTATTTCCATTACTGCATTCAACAAAATCTAGCAAATATAAACACAAATTTTCAGTAAATTACAGGTGCAGGCAAAAATGTTTACTTTTGCTCACTTTCCTGTGGAACTACTATTGACACTTATTTACTCACAAGTGAACCATCTTTCCACAGCTCTGCAATATGCCCAGATCTGATCTGATCATGGTCAGTACTACTGCTTCTCAACAAAGTTGAAGTCAACAATGGGTTGAGAAGAAGTGATCTGATGTTTTTCATTACTGCAGAAACTCCACTGCCCTTCTGTCTTTTAATGCCTTGAAGTGTCTACATGACTACTTCTGCTATAGACATTAGAGGACCCAGAAGTATCTAGCCCTTTTTCCTTTGAATAATATCCAACTTCAACATGCATCTGAACCTAAATACTTGCCTGCCTTGTTATGTACCAGGTCAGAAAAAAGTTATGTACCAGGTCAGAAAAACACTTGAGCACAACTTTTTAACTTTGCAATTGTGCTTCTTACTAATAATGTTGAGCAATATCATTATATCATAGCAATGTCCTGGGGCAAAGGAGAGCTTCCACACACGCAAGCTGCAGCTTTGCAGATGTGGGTGAGCATGAAGTGTGCTACAGCAGACAACGAGTGGAAGAAGGGTTCCCACTGAATTTTCCTATACAATCTGCCACAGATGGGTTCCAACACTACTGTGAGACATGGCTGAACATCTGGGCAATGTGCTGGGTTGGGAGATGAACAGTCCAACAGTCACTGGCCTGCCACAAATCCACAGTCTTTTGAGATATTTTTTTCAAAAGCATCATAATATGATGCTTAATGATACAATAAACCTATCATCTATCAACAAAAGCATCAATTGATATTTCTCATCCTGGTTTGAAATCCACATAGTCAAAAACAATATGCACAGATGTAGCTCCTTTGGTGCTAAAGCATTTCTACTTCAGGTTAAAGATCATTCTGTTATGGCTGCTTTTGATTCTGCTGCTATAGCAACCAACACAGGGATTTCTTTTCCCCCTGAGCAGTTTATGGGTAGTATTTTGTTTGGCAAAAAATAATGTTTTGTTTCTTACATTAAAAGTTTGTTTCAATTAAAAATTAAGCCAGTTATTTCAAAACATTATGGTTCTAGAAATTATCAAGGGCAATGCTTATACACAGCCAAACACAAGTGAATTCCAAACATTTTTTAATTTATGTGGGCTAAGCTACAATTTTTCAGCTCAATGATATCTATTTTTCTCCTATAGCTTTAGAACAGTTTCTGTATAAATTATCCTTAAAAATTCCCTCCCATAAATCAGTTTTGTTTCTTCTTTTATTCTTCTCTTATTCTTATACCTACATATTCCCAAAGCAGAAGCACCACTAAAATTCTCTATATTAATTTCTATTTACCTGGCATTTTGAGGAGTTGATTCAAGATGCTATAAATACAGAAAAATATTTCAATACATTTGTTCTTTCCTTAGAGCATCGGATTTATTCTAAATCCTCATCCAAATTTTTTGTCTATTATTCCTTTCTTTAAAACATCATGGCATCACAGCATACTAACAGGTATTAATTTTTTTTCTAGCTTCCTTTGCATGCCTAGAGAGGTAGGATTAGCAGCACTTCAAGCAGCACAGATAGTGTAGATGCTACTCTATGTGCCAAGTTTCCCATACTCACTCTAGAGGGATGCCACACTTAGCAATGCCAGCAAAACCACTGTTCTTTAAGAAAGGTCACTGGAAGATTAAATTTGTTCCATATCAATGAACACTACAAGAATTGATATGCATTATGTATACAATCTACTTTCCTGGCATCAGAGCCTCTCAAGCACTTTTCATGCACAGTTAAAAAAATTTAAGTGCCCAAGAGCTCTTACACCTTCTCAGTCAGAGCTGGAGCAAACAGCTCAGCCTCAGATATTTCTCTCCTTGACAGACTGTGAATCAGATAAGATATTTTTGAATTTACTACTAAAAATGAAGATCACTGGGAGGAGGGTGTCAAAGACAAAATACATTCACTGCCTTAAGACAAAACTTGTTAAAATTTTGTTGACTGAAGTCCACATGTCAGATGCTGTGCTGGTAAATGATGGATCTCAGTCAAAGTGAGGGAGTTACATTTGTGTCACACTTGGACTTCCCAACTCACACAGAAAATAGGGTAAAGCCTCTGATGTAAGAGTGAAAGATATGTATATACTAGGTCTGCATTTTGTACTCCCTTGCTTTGCTGAAACGTATCTTGAAATTTTGTTGGACACTAACCACCAAGACTCTGATCCAAACCCAACCACTGGATTTTCATCTGCTGAATGACCCTGAAAGGAATGAATGGACTCTGCACATCCACTCACTGCAGGGCGCCTGACTGCTGTGACTTCCAACAAGAAGATGACAAGGTGGCTCTGACCTGCCTGAGCAAAGGTATTTGGAAAAGAACTGTCCCTTGAAACCACCTGAACTCTAGAATGGCTTTTTTATCAGTTCCTCTACTGAACTCCATGAGTACAGTGACAAATCTGGGGGCCACAAAACACCTGCCTGCACAACTTACCTTGGTTTAAACAGAAGCAACAGTTTTGATTATTATAGAGAATGTCAACTGATAATCTTGCAAAGGAATGCATAGAACCAAAAGCATTGAACTGCTATTAAAATGTCACAAATTTTTTCTCTGATTGAGTGGCTGTGTGCAATTGCAGATATCCTAACAGGCTGAGAAAAGTTGAAGAGCAGGGAATCTAGACTTATGTCTTTAAATCCATATAAAACCAACAGAAAGTGCTATATTCCCAGTTGTAACAAAATCTCAAACTGGCGAATGTAAGATTTTTGACATAGAGAGGCCTGAATATTTAATACAGCACTCTTAACATTGCATAGCCCAAACATGTTTTAAAAAATGCTCATGGTCACACAGATGTGGAGATGAAAAAAGGATATAAAAGTGACTCTTTCATTGCAACAGCTGACATGAGAGTTGACTTATGTGCAGTCACATCCTTCGAAATGAGGGCTACTGCTTCTGAAAATTCCTTTTATTGTGATTGTTATGAAAATTAAAAGGAGACAAGCACAGATATAATTTTTTTTACACACATACAAAAGATAAAGTATGTTAATAAAGTAAAATTAATGTTTTCCATTGTCAGTGTTTTCTTTTTTACTCTGAAGCATATGATGGGAAAAAACATATTTTCCTTTTGAATATAACTTCCACCTTGAATTTTTCTCTATTTATTTCCCTTTCCCTGTTCTTTTCATAGAATAATAGAATGGTTTGAGTTGGAAGGGACCTTACAGACCATCTGGTTCCAACTCCCTACCATGGACAGGGACATCTTCCACTACACCAGGTTGCTCAGAGCCCCATTCAACTTGTTCCTGACACTTTTCCACGGAAGGGCCACCCACTACTTCTCTGGGCAACCTGCTCCAGTGCCTTACCACCCTCACAGTAAAGAATTTCTTGCTTATATCTAATCTAAATTTCTCCTCTTTCAGTTTAAAGCCATTCCCCATTGTCTTAGCACTACATGCCCTTGTCAAAAGTCCCTCTCTGTCTCTTTCTCACTGCTTCCCTGGCTTTTCTTTTCCTGCAGGAGCTTCCACTGTCTGCCCTTCTTCTCTGCAATCCACTCTATCTCATCTGCTAATGAAGCGGTTAATAAAATCTTCATCATTTGGCTTAAGACAACATGCTAACGATTTCCGTTCACACTTTTTACAGTCATAGTGGCAGATTATTTGCAGCATAACAACTCTGGATAATTTTTTATAACCCCTTCACTCAGGAGAGTTAAATCCATTTAAAAATAAAAATCAAATGTGGCAGAGAGTGTAAAGTACATATTTACAGCAAAGATGTAATGTGAAAGCAAAGTATTTGACAGCATGTCTCAAGCAAGGAACTGGTCAGTAAATCCTGACTATTGTTTGTGTTTACAACATTCAAAAGAAGAAAATTGCTTTAGAGAAGTAGTTCATGGAAGAAGAGGTATTTTAGATTTTGTTAATGGACGAAACAAAAATATGTAGGTATATTCTGTACATTCTGCACAGCTCAGTGAAAATTCTATTTATATGTAGGTTTTGATGTTCATATTTAACAAACATATATACAACTTATTCCTAATTCTTATGCAAAATCAAATGCACAATTACAGAGATACAGCTTTCTGCTGACTTACTGTACTGAAAAGAACAATGGGAACAGGCTTTATTGACAGGTGCTGCAATTACAGTTTCATAAGACGGAACATTTGCTCATCAAGTAATGTTCTTCCCTCCAGACATCTTCATTACAAAAGAAGCAGGAGGTCACATGATGAGTAGTGCAGAATGAATACTCTCTACATGCTTTCATTCTCTGTAGGTATGAAATTATGCTCTTTTAAACTTCTCACCATTAAAAAACAAAAATGACTGTTCAACTGTTCTTTGTTTCTTAATATAATTTTACTTAGGATATATTCTTCATATGACAAAATTATATCACCTAAATCTGATTAAGTTTAATCTTATAGAATATACAAGCCATTTTTTTATGAAGAGATACCAATCTGGCTTGGTCTTACATTGACTAATGCTCAGAAGCCATATGGTTATTGAATTTCTTTCTCTCCAATTCTTTACTCTGGTGTGAGTCTAGCACGGTGCTAGTGAAAATCCTGATTAAGACCGCTGAAAATAAGTTACACCATACATCTATCCTCAATTTATTGCTCAAAACAAAGTTGATTAGGCAAATGACCCACATTTTCAGGCACTGCACAACACGCCTTACTTATTCTCCAATAACTTAGGCTTAGTAGACATCTAATGTCTACATTCACTGAGGGTCTTGACTGAGGCATGTTCTCATATCCCTATAGTACAATAAAGCTGAGGAGAACACTGCCACAGTCATGCTCAGGAGTTTGCTACAAGTGATGTAGAGTGTTTACAGTACTTGGAGCAAGCCCAGTACCAAATAAACAAAGACTAGGTAGGGAATTGTGGCACTGTTTAGCAAGCTGTAGGTGCACTGTAGTAGAATAGTGTCTGTGGCAGGGGAAACATACTGGAGAAAAAGCCAAATGAGGGATATGGATTCATACTGCAAAGAATTTTAGCATGAGATAGGAAGAGGATGGGAATCTGCCTGGAGTTCATCAAGGAGCATTTTTCCTGTGACCACAAACAGTGTAACAGATACCATGGAAATAATGAGGAGAAGCTGAGGGCAAACTCAGCATGTGTTATGACAACACAGGCAGTGTTAATAGTACCTTTGAAGAAAACCCAAGAAGCTTGCCAATGATAGTGGAAAAAAAGGAGGAACAGCTTGAAGGAAATAAGTAGAAGATAAAGGGTCAGAGCAGCATGTGAACAAACAGAAGAGCAAAATTACAGAAGCTGAAGCTAGAAAAAGATTTTTCATAGACTGGATTTTTATCCACCAAGAATTTGGAAGAAAAATGTACTTATTTGTCCAGAGAACTACAAAATTTTTTCTCCTCTTATGACAAGAAAAACAATGACAGTTTTAAAAGTTAACTTTGAAGGGTCTGTGAAGCATCAAGAGCCAAATCACACACCTTTGTTGAAGACCTGAATGGCTGGGGAGAGATGGTGATGTAACTTTACAGCGAGGAGAAATGGCTCAGGACAGACTGACATGAAAGAGACGAAAGAGACAGACTATGATGAAAGAGATCATACTCTACCCCTGAGGAGGATTCATGCCAAACTGAATCTAGGCTCTAGACTAGTTATGTTTGATAATTTGTGATGAGACAGGAGGAAGACAGGCCAATATCCTTAAGCGATGGGATTTGCGCACTACCGCTGAACAGATAGTTTACTGCACACAGAGATGGGACTATACTCACAAATGTGGACAAAAGGTTAAAGAACATGACAGCCTGGCTGAGAATAAAGCATTTAGGTACAACTATTATAACACTGTGTCCAAACGTGATAGAGGTTGTGGATAACGTCATAAGAACTATAAGCAATAACTGCACACATAACACTTCTGTGAAATCCTCTGGGCTACAATTTGCTCTCAGTGTGAAAGGGAGGGATATTTATTAAAGACCCTATGTTCTACAGGCACAGATTCTTTGGATGAGTAAAGAAATAAAACTTTTACTTAAAGGCCCATAGAATCTCCAGACAAAGGGAAAGACTGTGGATGTTGTCTACCTTGATTTCAGTAAAGCCTTGGATATTGTCTCCCACAGCATACTCCCAGAGCAGCTGGCAGCTCATGCTTTGGACAAGTACAACTTTCACTGGGTAAAAACAGGATGGCTGGGCCCAGAGACTGCTGGTGAATGGTGCCACAACGAGGTGGTGATTAGTGTTCCCCAGGGCTCATTATTGGGGTCAGCCAGTATCAGTTTATTTATTATCTTTATTGATGATCTGGACAATGTGACCAAGAGCACTCTCAGTCACTTAGTTGGGTGGCAGAATTGACCTGCGGGAAAGTAAGAAGGCTCTGCAGGGGGAGACGGACAAGATCCATCAGTCGACTGGGACCAGTTGTCTGAGGTTCAATAAAGCAAAGTGCCTGCACTCATCACAACAACTCTGTCCTGTGCTACAGGCTAGGGGAACAGTGGCTGCCTGAAAGAAAAGGACTGGGGCTGCTGGTTGAAGTCTGGTTGAACATGATCCAACTTGTGCCCAGGTGGCCAAGAAGGCTGTCGGTATCCTGGTCTGTATCAGCCATACTGTGGCCAGCAGGACCAGGAAAGTGATTGTCTCCCTGTACTTGGCAATTCTGAGGCCACAGCTCAAGTCCTTTGTCCAGTTCTGGGCCCCTCACTGCAAGAGGAACAACAGAGAGGGGCAGTAAAGCTGGGGAGGGATCTAGAGAGTGAGTCATATGAGGAGCGGCTGAGGGGTTGGGTTGAATTTTGAAGACACGCATCATTAGAATATCACTCAATTTAATCAGTATATTGTGTTTCAAAAAGCAGAAATGGTACAAAATTTTTATTTCAATTTGCAAGAGTTTTAGGGTCTCCTGAACCATATTTTTGAGTAATATCTTGTTGGAGTCCTTTTTGTATGTACTAAGGATATAGTTCATAGAGCATAAAAAAACCTGTACTTGCTACAAAGTAGTACGATCAGTCAGTATTCTCTGTAGGCTTCTCCCTTCTCATAGTCACACTGTCAGTTAACAAAGTTTTGTTTTAAAAGTACTTTAAACCTTATTATGTATTTTTAAAATTTTGTTCTCAAAGTCTAGTTGCCATGTTGTAGAATTTCAAAAGAGAATGATCAACACACAATTCAGTCACATTAATTGGAACAAAGAGTTCTTATACTAAACTGATGGTACTAAACTTATTTTCACCTTATCCTTTTAATTCTCAAGTGACTTTATTGAAATTATTTCTGCAAATATTAACACAGACAAAACTTCCTCAAAATATTCTCAGAACAACTCATGCAACTCAAAACAGAGAGAATCTATGTGTCTGGGGCTTTGTACTTTCTGCATCTCTCTGTTATTTCTCCAACCCAAAGTATCTTTGAATTTGCTTGGAAATTTGACCTCAATTTTGCATTTGTATGGTGATCTGAAAGATGTGTCTAAGTCAGGAGAATGACCACACAGTATCCTCATGGAGTAGTGCCCAAAGAAGTTCAGCCCAACCCCACTCTACTCAAGCCGGGCAGTAGCAGAAGAACAGTGTAACTTGAACAGCGTGATTATTCAAGCTGCTTGCACATTTTTTGTAATCTGTATTTATACAATCTTTAAGTTTAGATTGTACTAAAGGGAAAGTTAAAGCCTTTGTTTTCAGGACACATAATTGACAAAAAGTTATTACTATCCCTGCACTACACAATTTCACCAGCCCTCACAGGAATTCTGTTGTTCTTGCAGGCTTTCAACAGGTTTACATCGAAGCTTAATACTCTTCCAAGAGATGAAATATTATCTGGAATAAATATGAAATATTATCTGGAATAAATATGCCAATACTTCAAAATTCTGCCTAAAGGGACTAATTTGAAGCACTAAACATTTAAGTAGGACTATAGAGCACACCTAGATATTTACACTATGTGCCAATGTGTATAAAAAGGACCAAAGAAAACAAGTTAAGAACACTGCACAGGCAGCAAATGATAGGGGTTTCAATACAAGTATTTGACAATAATAACGCTGATGTTGCAACTTTTTTCCCACAATGAAGCCACAATTTTCAGCTGGATTCAATATACAGATGAAGATAGGCTTGCTAAGTGTTCAGTATATATTATTTCTTAGAAACTTTGGTGTTATATTCTGCACTACTGCAAAATAGCAAAATTATTAACTTCAGTGGAGCTAAACACCAGTTGACTTCACAAGCAGATGCTGTTTTTCAGGTTAATGCAGTGGTAAATTAAGTATCAGTTAAAACTTCCTTAAATTAATTTAGCTTTTATATGAAGCTGTGAGTCCTTCAGACTTAAACTTTTGGGTGCAGCAAGCAGAGAAACATATAATGCGTGTAACCCACTCACAGTCAAAGACTGCAAAACCTGTTCAATTGTTACTGCTTTGATTGCTCCGACGATGTCTAATATCACACTATTTTTATATATGGCATTTGTCTTTCATATACCCAAGGTAAAGACTTCAATTCAGCTGTTTGCTGCCGGTCTGCTCCATCCAAGTCAGTAACACAAAGAAAATAATCTTTCATGTGCAGGGGGAACAATCTGCTCTGAAAGAATGTTTGAGGAAATAAAGATTTTTGGCAATTTTGACTGAAGTTTGTAGTCAGGAAACTACATATGTACATACGCTCCATTTTGATCAAGGTAATCTCTTCAATTGACACTGGAACTACTTTCACTGCAAAAAATGGTTTTGTTCAAGTGACAGATGTTGATGGATTTTCTTTTAATATTCCCCTAGTTCCAATACAGACTTAATAACTTTGCTTAGAAAGGTAAGTGCCCTTAGACACTATTTTTCTAACGTACAGAATAACGTAAAATAAAAGGTACTTACCAATTTTGCAATGTCATTCACATCATCTGTGACTGGATTCCCGCAGGAACTCTGGGCTTTGACAAGAGGATTAAGTAGGAGGAGTTGAAGACAAAAGCAAGTGATAATCCAAGTCTGTTTAGCAAAAAAATAAAAAAGAAACAAGAAATCCCAAGTAAGCAATAGCCAAATATGAAGTAACAAGAGATTGTAATAATGTTTTTTATATGTGTTGTCTAGAGGCACCAATATTCTTTATCCTTCATGAAGGCATACTTGTACCATTACAGTATCATCTTCATGGCAGGAATCCACAAAAATGCACTTAATTGATCTTTTCTGGAAGCAATTATCTTTAAAGTGTTAATGGAAAACCTAGTGTTGAGCCATTAGGTTACTTACACAGGATCATGTTTAGCTGGGTTTTTGCAAAGTTTACAGATACCAAAGAAAAGAAAGATACAAATCTTGCAATATTTTTTATCATGAAAATACAATTGATTATATACTTGTCATTTGCTTGATAGATCTGTGGTTCTAATGTGATAAATGATAAGGAACAACATTATACCAGACTACATCAAGACAAAGGGAGAAAGTTCATAATCACAGCCATTTCATTTGAGTACTTAAACTGCAGGCAAACCCACAACTGGACTCTGCCCAAATACTGACATCTCAAGCAGCAATACAGTACATCTTCTCCAAGTGACGTGCTCTGGCCTCTCAGAAGTGCCAACTTGGCTTTGGCACTACATTCCCCTCCTAAATCCTGTTGGAAACAGCAATGCAATGTACTTACACAGGCTTGTGAGACTCACACAGAAAAGCACCAGATAACTAGCTGCGATGCACCTGGGTGTCTCCTTGGCTACACTGCCTGAACTTCCTCGCCTTCTGTTGTTCCTTGTGCTTCACTGGTTTCCCACAGAGCCCTGTGCCAAGTTTAAGCTGCAGATCTTTATTTCCAGAATGTTAAAGCATTTAAGTTATGGATAATGAAAAGTTGCCTCGGGTTGTGAAGCTTCTTCTGCCAGCTGACTGAAGCTGTCAGCAAAAGCCGATGATGGTGTACATTTACGGCAAGTATGGAATTTGCCTGTGCAGGCTCCTCAGCCTCCATAAGGGCAAGACTCAGATCAGGATTTGCTTTTGCACAAACTAAGATACAGCTCAGCCCCGTCTGTTCTGTGTGACAGATAGAGAACTCCAGCCTCCACCCTTGCATTCATGTGCTCTCCAACCTTTCAATTTAAGACCAAAGCAAATGAAACAACAGCGACACAATTCTCTAGGAAAACAAGAGAAAAATCACACATTAAAAAGATGTATCATTATAGTAATCTAGAGGGCCTAAGAAAGAATGATAATTAAGATTGCTCAGGAATTTCATAAACTTGACAGAACGGTGTCAGGCACTTCAGCTAAAAGAGCTGTTAAATGACATGAGTAATCTCTTTCTTGTATCGTTTATCTCTTAAATCTTGTATCTATCCTACAAGTAAAACTGGTCGTTTGCTTTCTTAGAATACAACTTCCTGACATATTTAGGTAAAACCAGTGTGGGCTGCTGGTAGAAAAGACAATCCAGCTTCCTCTCCCTACCTCTTGCACTGGCAGTGAGGGTTTAGTCAGTTGTACCAGGCAGACAACTTCCATTTTTGTTTTCCTGTAGTATTTTTCAGCTTTCTGATCCAAGTAACTGACGCAGCTGAAATGCTCTGTCAAAGATGAGACAAGCCAGGACTGCTGATTTCAGTGGAGCCTGCACTTGCCTTACCCTAAACTATACCCTCAGACACCACAAAGAAATCAAATGTATTCTGAGCAAAGTACATTTACAATGTGTCTTTTGGGAATGTCTCTTGCTTCAACAAAACTAGCATTTAGAAAAAAATTTATTTTTATATTTGTACAAATAGTTACTGAGAACAATTACCAGTGCAAAGGATTGAGAATAATTAGTAGCTCATCTTAGAAAATCTCTGTGTTTTAAGCTACAGAAAGCTTTACAGTTATATATATATGAACAATTTGAGCTCTGGGGAAATGCAAAGATGCTGCTTGTTTTAGAAAGGACCTTCAAGAGCTCCTTGCAGTGTATTAGAGCTCAAAGCTGTTTAAGAACTGGTTTCAAGTGATCAGGAGAAACATCTCCCTTTCCTTCATAAGCTCCAGAATCACAGAGGAAACAAAAGGTGACCTCAAGTTAACAGGCTACCTCCTCATTCACAATATTTAGAAATTAATTGCTGTAAAAAAGCAAGAAGTTAATGACAACTATATACTACAACTATACTATAACTATAATGGTAACTATACTGCCTTCAAGAATGAAAACTGAGTAGTTCAACCTTTGGAGTAAACCAGTGCATTAGCAGTTGCACTGGCAGGGACTTTTCTCTGACATGTTCCTTGGAGATGGAGTTCATACCAGGAACTGACAATTTCTTTACTGGATTCCTCAGTATTGATTAGTATGTAAAGATGGAATTTGTTCACTGAACTGTGTCATGGTCATAGGATGATGTTCAACCCAACAGTCCAATAATCAAAAATGTAACAAAATTCTTTAACTAGAAACGCTTTTTCAGCAGATCAACTAAGTAATATTAATAAACACAGTAGCATGCTCCAAATAAAATCAGAACTTTGATGCACCTTGTCAATTTTTGTACTTCTGATTCTTAAAATCACTATACATTCTGTAATTGTGGAAAAAAATAAGAATACTTTTGTACATGAAGCTTAAAATCACTATACATTATATAATTATGGAAATAAATAAGAATACTTTTTCTCCTATGTAAATAATGATTGGGATTTAAAAGCATAATAATTTTATAACTGCTATTAAAACCAAATGATTTGTAAATTTTGAGATTATTTGAGGTTTTTCTTGCATATTTTCTCCCTGTGTCATCCAACAGGAACTGAAAAATCTTCAAAATACTGCTAGTTTCAACATGTCTATTATACAAAATCTTTTAATTATTTGCACTTACAAAATATTTACATTACGCATGCCTTCAGGCACATTATATGTAAGGACTGTACAGATCAAAGGGTTGAACTATTTTAATGTTATTTACTAATGACCAAACCTGCTGTTTGAGCAAAACTTGAATAGACTGAATTAAATCAAGGACAGAATAAATGGGAACCTTAAACAATAGCTTTATAAATAGAGATGCCCATTTTATACTTTACTAAGCATAAATAAAGTTACCTACACAGCACTCATAACAGATTTCCATATTTAATTGCCCCTAAGTTAACATGGGATTTTTCAAAGCTGGCCTCAGAATTTAATCACACATCATTTATTAGCATGAAGATATATAGCAGACAGGAGGCAGACCTTTATACCAAAGTGTCTCTTCCTATTTTTGGCTTTAAAATTATTCAATTGTCTTTAGACTCTGCAATCTATTAAATAGTGAATATTTAAGTTTGTGCAAGGGGAAAAAAATAATTATCAGACTCAAAAGCATAATTAAAACTAAAGATTTCAACTATACACATTTGTTTATTCTGCAAATGATTTGCACTATTGCTTGTAAACCATAATCTAGAATTTCAGTAAACATAATTTTAGAAGCTCAGCTAGTGATCCAATGTGTTGAAGACCACCCTTTCAGTTGTAAATCAACATCCTTTTAATTTATTCATTTCATTTATAATCTGAAGTGTTGACAAAGGCTGCTGAGTGGTTTAGCATCTCTTTCACAGTATGCTATGAAAGATACTCAATCATGTTAATGTTCAGCTAATTCCTTAAGTGGAAAGCAAAAAGGGGAATACCGCATTGCTAAATAAACCATACTTTGGAAAGTCTGGACATTCCCAAATATCTAGTTTGTCCTGATAACACTTCTAATTGCAAGAGGGGAGATGACATTAAAAAAAAGCAAATAACAAACAACAAAAAAACTTTAAGCACAGGGAGAGGTAGTAACTACACAGATGAACAGGTTCTCAATTTTAAAATTTCCTGTATTCAAATCATATTAGCCAAGGAATTTTTCAGCCCAGTTTCCTGAGCAAATCGCCCAATTAACCACAACCAAGCCACAGCTGAAGGAGGTTAGCTGACAATGTGGAACGATGTTCACCCTGGGCTAGGCTTCCCAAATTTATTTTTCACTTCTGTTAACAGTGGAGTAGGAACATATTTCAAAATTGGCCCCTCAGACAGTGTTTATATGCTGATTTGCTGAGACACAGCTTGTGAACTTCTGCCACAGACAACACGGGTTGGTCAGTCATGGACAGGTAACTTAATTTTCATACTTATGCCTTGAAAATGTTCTTTTGTAAGATTTAGAGAAAATGTAAGTAGCAAGAAAATATATTTCTCTGCTATTTTTTTTTAAACCACAAAGCATCCAGATGCATAGAAGCACAGTAATTCTTTCCTATGTCTATTTAGTTATTCAGCTGTGATAGAGATTAAATAATTAAAGTAGTGGAAGAACTGTCTTAAACCCATTAAGAAATTAACTGCCAGCACAGAAAAATCTTTAAATGAAAGAAGAGCATTTATACAGAGTGTAATCCAATTACTATTTCCATGGTATTCAGTGACACCTTCACACCTGCAAATGGCAGTGCTAACTTTAATACCCAGCATGGCCATGCCTAAATACAGCTTAAGTGCTAAACATTGCTCAAGCCCCCAAAAAAGTGAGTTAAGTGTGGAAAAGGAAGTCATCCACTCATGACCACCTAGCTCTGAAATCATGAAGTACTCAGCGAGCACATTTGGAACTGGCAAGGTCCCCTCCACACTCTTAAGTACCCAGGAAATTACTTCAGAGTATCTGAAGGAAGCACTGCTGAATAAAGCATAGTTAAGGATTAAGTCTAGCGCACATCCCCTGGTCATCAAAACTGGCACTAGTCTCACCAAATACAATAGCCTATCACCTAGGGTGCTCTCTGAGTGACAGACCTGGGCTACATCTCCTGCAACCAAGGTCATTCCAACTCATGGGAGTGGAGCTGTGATCCTCTGATATATCTACCTTGTAATTACCATGGAATCATAGATTCATTTAGGCTGGAAAAGACCTCTAAGATTATCAAGTCCAACCATAAACCCAGCACTGCCAAATCCACTAGAAGGCCACGTC